GTGGTGCTAGTGCATCTGAGATTGCAAGAAGAAAGAAAGAAAGAAAGAAAGAAAAGAAGTAGACAAAGTAGTATCTACTTTATAGAGTTGTGATAAAAATTAAATGAGAAAATGCATGTCACATGCTTAACATAACTGCCCAGAAAAGAGTACATTTTTAAGAGATGATATCTCAAATTGCTATTTTGTAAAACCATAGTTTTTAGACGATTTCAGACTTTGGAAATGTCTCATATACTTGGAATGTATCAATTTCAACCAAACAAGATTAATTCTAAGACTGTTCTTGTTGTCAGCTCAGTTCTACATATATTACAGATGAATAGAACCGATGCTTGAATCTAGCCATTCGTTTTCGAGGGCCTATGTGATGTGCCAGGTATTGAGTTGGGTCCTGGAGACACTGGTGAGTGTCACAGGTCTAGACTCTGCCATTGCGGGGTACACGGGGCTGAAGGAGTGAACAAATAATTAGGTGGTTACCGAGGTGATTAGGGCCAGAGGGAGAGGAGCATGCTGTGACCCGGCACTGCTGACCCGCAGGGAAGGTCAGAACAGTGCGGGGCAGGGGGCACAGACTGCCACCAGCCGTGAAGTGTCCCCAGCCCAGCTCCACCTCCCTGGGGGAGCGACCAGGCTCAGGGTTGTCATGAATGAACGTGAGCCTGAGTCAGGCACTTAGGGAAAATGCCCAGCACACGGTGAATATTATGTTAGTATTATAAATAAAACAAAGCAAGGATATGTACTGACGGGTTCAGCTGCCCACTTCCATTTTTACCCACCACACACAAATGGGGTTGTCTTACCCATTTGGGCTGCTATAGCAACTACCATCAGCTAGGTGGCTTATAAAGTACAGACATTTATTTCTCCCAGTTCTGGAGGCTGAGAAGTGCAAGATCAAGGCACCAGCAGATTCAGTGTCAGGTGAGAGGCCGCTTTGTGGTTCATAGCTGGTGCCTTCTTGCTGTGTCCTCACATGGTGGAAGGCAAGGGAGCTTTCCGGGGTCTCTTTTATAAGGGCACGAATCCCATTTACAAGGGCTCCACCCTCATGACCTAACCACCTCCCAAAGGCCCCACCTCCTAATACCATCACCTTGGGGATTAGGCTTCAACATATGGATTTGCGGGGGTGGATCACAAGCAGCAGGGTCCACCATGCCTTCCTCCTATGGTACTTAGTCACATGGTCATGATTAGTACTGTCACCTTTGACTCCCTTGCACAAAATAACCTGAGAGAACTTAGCTGTTCTTTAACATTCAGTGCAAGGAAGTGGTGCCGGGTACCCTCACCTGTGTAAATGTCACATCACCTGGGGGTTTGTAAGCAGAAAGTACTACAGGCCTCCAACTTGACTCGCAGACTCATGCTTGAGTCCACAGCAACACCGAGCACACGCCCCTTCCTAGCTCCCTGGGCCCAGTGACTCAAGATTCATTTGTGGCTGTTTATTTGCCCATAAGCACAAACATATGATCAACCCAGAGCCAAAGACCCCAGGGGTCTCTCTATCACCTTCCCTTCTCTCTCCCCACCCCTAAAAGCCAGCAAGAGGGCTTCCCTGGTGGCGCAGAGGTTGAGAGTCCGCCTGCCGATGCAGGGGACATGGGTTCGTGCCCCGGTCCGGGAAGATCCCACATGCCGCGGAACGGCTGGGCCCGTGAGCCATGGCCGCTGAGCCTGTGCATCCGGAGCCTGTGCTCCGCAACGGGAGAGGCCATAGCAGTGAGAGGCCCACGTATCACAAAAAAAAAAAAACCAAAAAACTTCTTACCATTCTGCACACCCCTGCTCCCACATCAATTTCACATTCTCAATGTACATACAGGCAGTGGGATATTGGGAATTACTGAGTCCTTTCATTTAAACCAATGCTGTCGTGTTAACTCAGTTTGCCTGTCCTTGTAACAACCCTCAGTGTGACGTCTCCTGCTTTCAGAGGAGGACAGAGCCGGGCAGCAGTGGCAGGTGATGGAAAGCCTGGCCGGGGAGGCGGGGAAGCAGGCGCCGGTGTTGGGTCCCCACCTGCTGGCCACATCCCTGCTCCTCCTCAAGTCCTGCGTCCTTGGCACTGAAGTGACAGGCTCCACCTAGGTCACCTCCAAAGCCCCTGCCATCCCAGAGGGCCTAATTCACAAGTCGTCCGTTTCTGCAGGCTGTTTGCTGGGCACATCATTTGTACAGAGGAGAGGAATTCCACAGACCGTCATGAAGCCAGCTCAGCTCTTCAGCCCCGCTTCCTGCTGGTGGTGGAGCCTGGCTCTTGCCAATTTGAGTAACTGGGTCACTTCCGGTTTAAACTCTGTTGCTTTGGGGTAAACCCTCAGTCAGCTCAGGACCCTCCCACTTCTCTCTTTCCCTTTCCTTCTCTCAGGATTAAATTGGGATTAAGGGAGGCTTATTTAAGGTTTTGTTACATCCGTGACAGGGTGGAGAGCGAGAGTTGGTTGTGTCTGTTCCATGGTTGTCTTTGGCCTCCAATGAGCTGGGACCCGCCCCCTGGTCCAGAGTGTTGCCCTCGGCCCCTGCCCATGGCGAGGCTCCTCCCGGCCCCCTCCCCGGTTGTGGTGCCCAGCATGTGGCTCCCCTTTCCTTTGGTCCTTCTGTGCATCCCATGCTGGGGGACAGGTGTAGCTGGGAGACTTTGGCGGTCTCCCTCGGGATCGTGCTCTAGCTGAGGGCCCGGGGAGCCCTCCTTCATGCCTAGGTGCCAGACCTGAACAGAGACACCCGCTAAACTTCTCAGGGATCTCCATCAGGGCTTGTTTAGCTGGAAGATGCTGCCCTCGTCTCAGGAGCTCATCAGCATCTGGACCCCAGCTCCACTGCTTCTGAGTCTCCTTCCCAGCCCTGACCCCACTGAACTCATCTTGGTTGGAAAAACAGTTCTGATGTTATCCTGACTCTCCTCGCCCCTGATTTATTTATGGCGTAATTTATTTACAGTATAATACATGCTGGGAGGACGAGGGAGCCACTTGGGAATATGAAGAGCCATCCAAGTTCATGCTCAAGGGAACTTAGGTGAAAAGAAAGATAAATCCATATATAGTTGATTAAAATATTTATAAAGACACAGGTTACTTATCTCAAAACCTGAGAAAGGTCAGAAATGACAGACGAGACAGTGGGGTGGAATGAATCTGGGTCACAAATTGCGATCCAAGGAGAAGGAGGGAGAAGAGGAGGGTGGGGACGCTTGGCAGTGTATGGGAGAGGAGGCCCAGGACCGAGGTGGCTTAGGTGCCTGTCCACAGGCTGGAGGTGGAGGTGAAGGTCAAGTGCACGGCTTGGGGGTGGGGCGGGCCCAGAAAATACCCGTGAGCAGAACAAAGCTGACCGAGGAGGGTCAGGGGAAGATGGAGGACGCAAGGAGGAGCAGCTGGGGGAAAGACCTGAGCAGGACGGTGCTGAGCTTGCCTTGATTAGATGACTGTGGAGAAACGGTTACAGGTAATTCAAGACCGGTCTTCGGGGGGGGGGGGGGGGGGGGTGGGAGTGTTGGGGGCGAATAGGAAGAACCACGTTGCAGGTGCAAAGCCATCTGGGTCTGGTCGAGGGATTTGCATGGGATTCCGGGGAAGGGAAAGATTCGGGCTGCCGAGGAGGAAGCTGCTGTCCTTGGCAGTGGCTGGTGAGTGATGAAAACCGGAGAGGCGGCAAAGATTACCAGGCTGCAGACTTGCAGAAGCAGCAGGACACCGGCACAGCCCACAGGACGGGGAAGTTGGGCAACAGGGAAGGCTGGGTGAGGAAGGGTGGGGAGGTTGAGGTCTCAGGGCTATTTATATTCAGCCGGAGACGTCCTGGAGACCTTGGTACGTGACATACCGGAGAGGAGAGGCCCGGGCGTGTGCTGGAGCAGGCGTGTGTCAGGAGGCAGTGATGGGAGGAGTGGCGAGCTGGGCTCGGTGCGAGGAGAAGGTCGGGATGCTTCCCCTGGAAGCGTGTAAGTCAGGCAGCCCTCTGCCACTCCACCTCTGGGCTTGCAGTGCTGAGAGCGGAGCCGGGACACCGCCGTCTCACTTCTCTTGCATTTAATGTAGAATGTGAAATTTACAATTCTCTTTAAAGCACTGACCAGAGAACGTGGTTTACGCACAAGAGAGGAGCATGGGATCTGGAGCCTCCCGAACTTGGATTAAAATCCTAGCTCTGTAAAGAAAATGTGTATGCATACAATGGAATACTGCGGAGCCTTAAGAAGAAAGGAAATTCTGACTCATGCTACAACATGGATGGATCCTGAGGTCATTATGCTAAGTGAAACTAGTCAGTCACAGAAAGAAAAATACTAGGTATGATTCCACTTATAAGAGGTATCCAGAGTACTCAAACTCATAGAAACAGAAAGTAGACTCACGGTTGCCAGGGACTACAGGGAGGGGGGAGGGGGAGTTATTGTTCAATGGATTTAGAGTTTCAGTTTTGCAAGGTGAAAACATTCCAGAAATCTTTTGCACAGTATATGAACAGAGTTAACACTACTGGACTATACCTTAAAAAGAGTTAAGATAGTAAATTTTATGTTATGTGTTTTTAGCACCACCAACCATAAAATTTTTGAAATCCTAGATCTTCTGGTCTCCTAGTGGCTGTGTGACCTTGACCTTGTACAAGCCAGCTAATTTCTTAGAGTCTCGGTTTCCTCATCTGTAAGATGGGCATAGAACACCCACCTCATAAGGACATTCTAGGACTAAATAAAAGCATGTATGTGAAGCTCCGAACATAGCACCTAGCACATCAAAGGTGTTCACGTTTCATTTAAATTGAATTAGTTCCCCTACTATCAAAACCTGGATGGTTTTCTTTTAAGGACCTAGACCTACTAGGTCTAGGCCTTTAGTGGCATATCGTAGTGCAGCCTCCACAATACTGAGGATGAAATAGTTAATAGGAAGCCCCCTGAACTCTTATTCCTAAAGATTTGTGATACACTACACACCAAGTGTCCCAGCATCCCTGTTCTCAATCAGAGGAGGGTCCCAAATAAAGAGGTCACTCTTCCCATCAGAAGAAGCTGAATACAATCTCTTCTGACACAAACTGGGCAGAATCCAAATACCACTGTCCAGAACCATGGGTTTTCAGACTTTCTGGTAGAGAAACCCTTGGCAAAGCAGCAGTCAGTAGTAGCAGGCATTTGGGTGAGCCCATGGCAGAGAACAAATCTCCTTAGGAATATTATTACTGAGTATTTACTGCACAAAGTGAAATCTGAGCAAGTCCCACGTAGAGATATGAGCTTAGGAGAGCCACGAGCTTAGGAGAGCCACCCCTGAGCCACCCCTGACTAGAGAGTTTTTCTTACCCTTCAGGGAGAAGAATTTGGGAGTTTATGCCAAAACTCTTTTCTATATCATGTACAGTTTGTTGCATCAAGTTGTAAGTTATCTAGAAATACCTGCGTTGGTCTTATTTCATAGTGCGGGTTCAAGCATTCTCGATACTTCCTTCTGTCATCTTCATAAAGTCCTGGGTCCCAGAGAGCTGCCAGCTGTTATTACAGCAAGATACCTGCACAGGGTGGACCCCTTCTGACTCTTGCAGTTAAAATCCTGGTGCCTGGAGTTTCCAGGTAAGCAGCAACCCTCGCACAATGTTGTCTGGGTGTGCAGCCTGTAACAATAGCGCACCACACCCAGAAAAACAATATGCCAAAATATTAAACTCTCCTACTCAGGCGCTATGTCACGTAGGCCATGCATCTTAAGATGTCAGAGCCCTTGAGAGGGTCAGTCAGACTGATTTGATACTTTCCTATTGCTCTCAACTTTCTCAGGCTGTTTCTTTTTTTTTTTCTTTTAAGGTATTCCATGGCTTGTCCGCACCTTGAGTGACAGCACGGTGAAGGGGATAGAGCAAGCGGCTTTGGCATCAAGGCCGCAGTGAGGTGAAGTCCCATCTCTACCTCCTTTAATGGCTGTGTAAGCTGATCCTATTACTTAATTTTTTGTAGCTTCAGAATTCCTCCTCCGGAGTAGAATTTTCTAGAAGCTACCTCAAGTTTATGGAGAAAAGAGAGATGGTGTAGCTGAAGGGTAAGGGCTGCTGCCTGGTCCATAGGAGCTGCTCCCTGAGTGTTAGCTGCTGCCCCCCTCTCCCCCCACCCATGTTGCCCTCTCATTTCCCCTGATTCTGAATCTTGTTTCATCCTTTCTAATCCCGGAACCAGCCCTGAGGACTTCAGCTCTTTCTCTGATGAAGACTTTCATTCCTGGACGCTCCCATCGCCCCCCCCACTCCAACTACCTGATAAACAGCCTCTAATAGTCACGAAAAGTTCGTCTCTCCTCTCTTTACACACACTCTCCCCTCACCAGTTACTTCTCCCTCTTCAGAAGAAGGCTGACCGGGCCCTTCATTTTGGGCTGTGCCCACTTCCGAGTATGTGACCCGTTGCTAACACGTCAGCATTTCTCTAATCTGGCTCCTCTTGGGACCTAGATCTTTTTCATCACACTTCCCATCATTTGTTTTGCGTTCCCACCCTGTGTGTGTGTGTGAGGGGGAGAGCACGTGTCTTTTCTCTCTTCAATGCCCGTACCCCCTTTTCACCCAGACTCCACACCCCATTTGTCGTCAGAGGCCCAGCAGGACGGGTTGGCCCCTACGTGAGCTCTGGCCTGCCCCTCCTTCCAGCTCGGCATCCTGCTTGGAACTTTCTCCCAAGCAGACGCTGCTAATTAACTCGGCCTGAACCCCGGTCTCAGGGCTACGTGTGCACATGAAAGGGCTGTTGAGACCACGAGGACCTCCCTGCTTCCTGCAGAGGGAAGATCAATCTCTCCTTTCCCTTCAACTTATAGTCAACTTTCTCCAGGAAGTGGCTGTTCCTTATTTTATACTATGTCAGAGGTAGCAGTTAAATCCTGGAGTTTTTATTTGAGAAGTTGCATGGAGGGTTTCAACAAGTGTTCCAAAGCAGGTTCTTTTCCCTTGGTCCTGCTCGGTTAATTACGTCTGGCTCATGTACATCCTGTTAATTTAAAGCGTGTCTCTGTGATCTGCAATTTCTCTTCATCAATACCGTTGAGGACCAAGCAGTCTGCAGAGTTTATTTGTTCTATCTTATGCTAAAAACAAAAACATGGAACTGTTTGTGACCGAGGCCTGCTCTGATGTTTGGAAACCACACGATGGGCTCTTGGTCCCCTGCAGTGAGTCCTGGTAGAGCTGTGGGGATAGCTGAGGGGGTCTGATAAAACCCAGGGCCTGGCACCCTGCAGCTTTTAAAGAGTGAGCTGAGACACACTGCTGTTAGGAGACGCAGGAGTGCGGCTTGTTTGTCTCCACTTTCTCCATGGACATCTCTGGACACATAGGGTTGCTGTTTTGTTTTGACTCATTTGGACTTTTTTCCCCTCATGGTTAAAAGAGCAAACAAGTTTTAAAAATGACCTAATCGCTGTCCAATGTGACTTCATGGGAAGTCACCAACCTCCCCAGAATGCAGAGTTGGAGCAGGGCTGGTGCCAGGAAAGGAGATTTTGAATTCGGAAACTTTGAAGCCGTGTAAACAGCCATGGAAGTATTGCGTGAGTCGGACCTCAGTTCCCCATCCGCAAAAATGCCAGTTGTTTTTTTTTTAATCTTTTTTTAAAATTTATTTTTGCCTGCGTCGGGTCTTCATTGCTGCACGTGGGCTTTCTCTAGTTGCGGGGAGCAGGGGCTACTCTTCGTTGTGGTGCGGTGGCTTCTCTTGTTGCGGAGCATGGACTCTAGGTGCGCGGGCTTCAGTAGTTGTGGCACGCAGGCTCAGTAGTTGTGGCTCGCAGGCTCTAGAGCGCAGGCTCAGTAGTTGTGGCGCATGGGCTTAGTTGCTCCACGGCATGTGGGATCTTCCCGGACCAGGGCTCGAACCCGTGTCCCCTGCATTGGCAGGCAGATTCTTAACCTCTGCACCATCAGGGAAGTCCTGCCAGGTTTTTAAATAAGGAAGAAATTTAAAGATCCTTCAGGGTAAAGAGCTGCATAGATCATTTTTTATTAATTATTTATTGGAGTATAGTTGATTTACGATGTTGTGTTAGTTTCTGCTTTATGGCACAGTGATGCATAGATTATTATAATGATTATAGGTGATATGATGTAGGTATAGTTTACACCCTATTCCCTTTGTGTGAATCCCCCCGAGGCAGGGCTATGACTCATGGTTGACAATGAAGAGGACAAATGTTTAGGGAACCCTGGACTGGACTTGAGAAGTTCACCCTCGAGCCCCAACTACTGGTGATGGTTACTTCAGTATTGGTATTTTATAGATTATACTTTACAAATAGAACTCATGCTCCTTGTAAAAACATCCAAACAACAGAAATATTTAAAGTATGTAAAGCAAAAATCTCTGGGCCTGCCTCCCCAGAAGGGGGTCAGCAGGGTGGTGACCATCCACCTGGATCTCTTCCAGGCACGCACACTGAGAACTGTTTGTTTTAACGAAAGTTAGATCATACTCTGTGCATTGTTCTGCATGACAGTTGCATCTTTTATTCTTAAGTGGAAGTGACGTGGGGTGGGAAGTAAGCGCAGGCTTCTGCATCAGAGTTGTAAGCCCCCAGCCCCTTCTGTTACTGGCTGCGTGTTTTGGGGCAAATTGCGTAACTTCTTTGAATCTCATCTTTTACAATGGGTACTGGGGGGCTTCCCTGGTGGCGCAGTGGTTGAGAGTCCTCCTGCCGATGCAGGGGACGCGGGTTCGTGCTCCGGTCCGGGAAGATCCCACATGCCGCGGAGCGGCTGGGCCCGTGAGCCATGGCCGCTGAGCCTGCGCGTCCGGAGCCTGTGCTCCGCAATGGGAGAGGCCACAGCAGTGAGAGGCCCGTGTACCGCAAAAAAATAAAAATAAAAATAAATAAAATGGGTACTGGGGACTTCCCTGGCGGTCCAGTGGTTAGGACTCTGAGCTTCCCCTGCTGGGGGTCAGGGTTCGATCCCTGATCAGGGAACTAAGGTCCCACGCTATTTAACGTCTAGAGCTCTTATGCAGATTAGAGGTGATATATGTAAAATGCCAGGCACATGCTGAGTATGGAAGATCATGATTATTTCTAATAAACTTTAAATTCTATGGTATTTTTCATTCTTGAACTGTCAAAATGCTAGATTTTTCTACTAATTTGAGCAAGGTTGGCTGTAGTTCATAAAGACACCCTCTTAGACGTTTTATTTTAGTAAATTCTCAGTGGGGTTCACTCCTGTTTTCTTTTTTTAAATCAGTGATTTTCAACCTTGATTCCATGTTAGAATTACTTGGGAAGCTTATAAAAACCCCAAACCAGGCCACACCACAGAACGACATCAGAATCTCTGTGGGCAGGACCTATGCCTCTGGATTTTTCTAAAGATCCCCAGGTGAGCCCAACACTCAAGCCTGGCAGAGAATCATCACTTTCTGTGATGCTGTATATGCTCTCAAGAAATAAACATACAGGCCAGAACAGAGTGGATTTCATTTGCTAGATGTGTTTGTGTTCATGGAAGAGTTTATTACCTTTCCTCTTTCAGTGGAGCGTAATTAATATTTAAATACACATGTAGAGTGAACGCCAGATAAAATTAAATCAAAGTATTGCAAATTGTAAAGTGTATATATTTTTATTATAAAGCACATTAAAGAATATTTAGAAAGTAGAAAAAAGCAAGCAAGCAAGTAATTCACAAATAGTCCCACCACCTTTATATATATATATTTCTGCTATTGTACTAGCAATGGTGCATTTATTTTTTTCTATAAATAGATTCTACAATATATAATTATCATATCAAACATTATAATTCCTTTTCATTAGGGAACAATTAGGGAACAATTCCATTATAGAGAAACTGGCTTCGGGCTCAGAGCTCTGAAGGGGCTCCGAGCCAAGTGTGATTCCTGTTAACCTTGGCCACAGTGGAGAGTCTACATTCCTTCAAAGCCTTTTTGTTACCTTTATTCATCTTCTCTTTCAGAATGGAATAACGCAATGGAAACGTGCAGGTGATGACGGGGATTGGCTGGAGTCAGGAGGAGAGGGAAGACGATCGTTTCCACAAGTCACTGTGAAGCCAGGTTAGAGTAATTTGTTCTCCACAGTGAAAGCCTCACTTATTAAGAAGCTCTTCACAAAACCTGTGGAAAATGCACAAGCAACGGTTGGCAGTGGCTGTCGCCAGGGGGAATCATGTAGCTGGGGGAGAAAAGTCACCCTACGCCCTTCCAGACCATGTTCACATATTTCTTCCCCCAGGAAGCAAATACAGAGTTTAAAACGACCTATTCTTCTTTTCTGGAATATGATTTTTTTTCTTTTTTTGAAATTGAAGTATAGTTGATTTACAATGTTGTGTTAGTTTCAGGCGCACTGAAAAGTGATTCAGGTATACGTATAAAAACAGTCTATCCTTGACTGATAACTGCTTTCTATCAGCGCTTCTCTGGTACAGGTGCTGTCTTGGGTGTGTTTACGTAAGTTTTCTCATTTTCTGGATTCACTTTTGACTTGTCATAACAATTGTTCCAAATACACAGATACGTCTTGATCTTTCGAAGCTTGCTGATAATTCTGCCCACAGGTATTCGTAGGAACCCAAGGACAAACAGCAAGACAATTCGCTGGACTTGGGGCCACAAGGCAGGTGTATTGAAGGGAATGGGTCATGGGCGGAACATACTTAGACATACTTAGTGGGGTGAGAGGGAAAGAACCTTTCTGATGGGAGAGATTCCAGGGGAGGAAGGGAGGTTTCCGAAGTCGTCTCTGTGGCAGGAGGACATTTGTGGAGTGTAGGGGGGAGGACACAGGTGCAGCCTGAGAGGGAACGCAACCAGAGCCATCCCACACCCGATGAGGGGCGCATTTATATTGGGGTCCCACGCCTGACAACCCCAGGAAGTGGCCCTTTGCCCGTTCTTCATCATAAAGTGAACCCTGTGGGGAGTGGAAGATGAGTTTAGAACAGTGTCAGCCCAGCAGGCCTCAGGAGACGTTGCTGACTGACTGCACTGATCTAACTCCAGGAGAGGGGAGCTCCCGCATTTTGGGGGGCCCTATGCCCTGCACAGTCTCTGAAGAGGGTGCATTTATACCTATTGTCCTAAATGAACTAGAGGCAAAGGAGCCGAGTGATGACCCTGAAAAGTGGGCTGCCATTTGCAGCTACATGGAAGGACCTAGAGATGATCATACTAAGTGAAGTAAGTCAGACAAAGACAAACACCACCTGGTATCACTTATCTGTGGAACCTAAAACATGACACAAATGAACTTACCTACAAGGCAGAAACAGACTCACAGACAGAGAGAACAGACTTGTGGTTGCAAAGAGGGAGGGGGCATGGGGGGGATGGAGTGGGAGTTTGGGATTAGTAGATGCAAACTATTATATTGATATATAAGATGGATAAACAACAAGGTCCTACTGTAGAGCACAGGGAACTATATTCAATATCCTGTAATAAAGCATAATGGAAAAGAAAAAAAGAGTGGGCTGGACATTTTCGACAGCCCCAAAGGTCCTGGAGACAGAAGGGGATGTTCTTGGTACCTCTTGGAAGGAGAAATGGCCAGTGATTAGATGCAAAGGAGAGGTTTTGGAATAAAATGGACGTCCCTCCAAATAACCCACCAATGAAGATTCTCTGGTCAGGTCCTCACAGAAGCATTTCTAGGTAACTGTCACCCGTGCCAGGAAGGAAGACAGGAAGCATGACTGTGACCATTTCCACGGCTCCCTCAAGCATCCCCGACCACACACCTGGTCATCTTTGGGTAAGTCAGCCGCTCACAGAGTTCATGCCATTCTGCTGCTGGCAGGTGTCCTGTCTGGCTTCTTATTGATTTCCTTCAGGTTTTATTACAACTTGCAGTGATTTTCCTTCTTTGTTTTCTTGGTTTGTTTGTTTTTCCTTCTTTCACCCCCCTGGACAGTAAGCTGTATGAAGGTGGGGAGTACGACATCTGTCTGGGTTAATCACCTCTGTGGCTAGACAGTGCCTAGCACAGAGTAGGTAGTTAATATTTGCTAAGTTAAAAGAATAAGTTAAAGAATATTCAAGAATAAATGAATACATGGAATTTATTAACCTAGTGTAACACAAGATTAAAGTACTAATTGTTCTCGTGTTTTTACCTGTTTCACTCCATGCCAGCCTAGGCCTGTGGTTTCTTCTATTTTCCTTTAGTTTTAGGCATATGCCGTTTCTATCCTAGCACTTGGGTCACTACCTGATTGTTATTTACGTGCTTCAGCCACCAAGAGAGTGTGAGATGACAGGGGGACACCAGGACTAGAAAGCCTGCCCTGTGAACTGGTACCTCTGGCCTTATTTCTTGTCCCTTTATGACACGTTCCAACCACCCTGAAGACCCCCAGACTCTCGAGTGCACCATGCTCCCTTCCATCCCCGGGTCTTTGCACAGACCGTTCCTTCTAACTTCCTCCTGCCCCTGCTTTGGCCTCTGCTTCTGAGTTGAGCACCCTTCACATGGGCTCCTATACCACCCTGTGTATCTCCAATCTCACACTTAGCTCATTAGCCTGTAATTGCATGTTTAAGTATTTGTTTTTATTTACTCATTCATCACTGAATATTATCTGAGCACCCAGGATGTCTTAGGCATGGCTCTGGGTACCGGGGATACAGTAGTAAACAAAATAGGCAAGGTCTGTGTTCTCTGGAGCTTACATTTTAGTGGAAAGAGATAAGCAGTTAACAAATAGAGACTCAGTTATATGTCATGTGCTAATAAGTGCTATAAAGAAATAAAACAGGGAAGGCAGAGACTAATAGGGGTCGGAAGCCTATTTTAGATAAAGTGATTAGGAAAGGCATCCGACAAGGGAACGCTTGTTTTACCATCGGCTCAAAGGAATTAGGGGAACAAGCTATGAAGATGTCTGGGCACATAGTGTTCAAGTGGCAGAAACAGCCAGTGCAAAGGCCCTGAGGCAGGAACGCGCTTGACATATTCAGGACATTGAATAAGCAGAAGTGGTGTGGCTAGAGCAGAGTGACCATGTTAACCTCAAATCCAAGTAAGCTCCATGAGGTTAGAGACCACGTTCCCCTGGCTCAAGGTGTATCCCTAATGTCTAGCACGGGGCTGGCACATGCCCTGAAGGTGTTGAAGGAATTCACACCTTGGGACAGCTTTCCCATTTGCCTAGTTTCACCATCAGGTCCTGAATGAAATAGACAGCGAGGAGGCCACTGAGCCTTTGGACAAGGGCAGGTCTGGGCGATGGAGGAACTGAGTAAATAAGTAAGAACAGTAAAGGGTTGAGGGGTTGAGAATAAATCTGAGGGTCCCGCTTGGTGCTCCAGGAATCAAGGCTCATTATGGCAGAGGGCTCTGGAAATGACTTATTTTCTGTCTCTCTTTTTTTTTAAAAAAATATTTATTTATTTAGGCTGTGCCAGGTCTTAGCTGCTGCATGTGGGATCCTCACTGCGGTGTGTGGGATCTTTAGTTGCGACATGTGGACCTCTCAGTCACGGCATGTGGACTCCCAGTTGCGCATGCACGCAGGATCTTAGTTCCCCGACCAGGGATCGAACCCAGCACCCCTGCATTGGGACATTGGGAGCAGAGTCTTACACACTGGACCACCAGGGAAGTCCCTGGAAATGATGTCTATTTTTTTTTTTTGCGGTACGCGGGCCTCTCACTACTGTGGCCTCTCCCGTTGTGGAGCACAGGCTCCGGACGCGCAGGCTCAGTTGCCATGGCTCAGGGGCCCAGCCACTCCTCCACATGTGGGATCCTCCCAGACCGGGGCACGAACCCGTGTCCCCTGCGTCAGCAGGCGGACTCTCCACCACTGCGCCACCAGGGAAGCCTGGAAATGACTTCTTATTACTACATTGTGTTACTAAAGCTCACTCTATGAAGTTACTTTCACACCAGATAAATCCAGTATCCTCTACTCACTAGTAGTGTCTGGTACTGCACTAAATGTTTTGTGCGGATTCATTTGGCATGATTGCTATGGAGATTGGATGCGATGACCTCTCCATTTTACAGATGAACAAACTGACGTTCAGTGAGATCAAGTAACTGGGCCAAGGTTACACAGCTAACAGCAGAGACAAGCCATGAAAACAAAGCAGTAGGATGCTGAAGGCTTCGCTCCTGACCGCTGTACCGTAACTGCCCCCTCCTCCTAGCCCATCATGGTGCCAGCTGAAGGCAGGCACAGACTGAAACTCAAATTTGAGTTAGATTTGACCCCAAATCAGTGTATTTTGAAATCAGATGACAGCAACTGCCCCATGTTTTTCTCCTGGATTGGGATCAATCCAGACATGAGTATAAGGACCAACTACAGTGGGAGGAAAGTCTTTGACAAGGAATCCATGTCCCACGAGGCTCGAAAGTGACTGAGGGCAGTGCGCCTCCCTAGGAGGGGGCCTGACGATAAAAGGAAGTTGTGTCTAACAAGGGAACGTCTGGAATTTTTCATGAGAAATGGCAGCCCACCCCTGGAAAAACTGTGTCACGTTCCATCTCTCCATGACACAGACGAGATGCGCAATGCTCCCGCTGAAACAAGTACTGACAGGAATTCTGGCGGCAGGAAGAACAGCAGTGTCCACCGTAGAGATCAAGATATGCCTCCAAAAACAACAGGTCGTGATTCATTCACTTGCAACGTGAAGGACACGCAGGGATGTTTTGGCTGTTAACGCCTGGCCTCACCATCCAGGTCCTACAGTGGGAACTCATCAGATTGCTCTGTATGGCCTCTCACGCTATCGCAACCCTCTTCCAAGGATATATGGAACTCGTTATGATGACGAACTCAAGGCCTGCTAAGGGTGGCAGGTTCCCCGAGAAGACCTTTAAAAGGAGGAACGTGGGCTTTCCCATCTCTCTCTTTTCCTCTTAGATTCTCTAAAGAAGAAATCAAAGAGACCGAAAGCAGGAAGTCGCCTTTATCCTGTGATCTCACTACATCCCACTTGGTGCTTCAGTGCCCCAAAGGGAGGCCTCTTCCCTGAAGTGATAAGAAAGATGCTTTTTGGAAGATCTGAGTGGCCGTTGGAGCTTAAGGCGGTCTTGTCAGCAGGATGTCGGCTGCTTGATCAGGGGCTTAAATCATAATCTCCAGGAGACTCCTGTGGCTAAAACTCTAAAGAGTTGACATGAGGACAAAACAATTGAGGAATTCATCCCGCAGATTGGAGGAAAACAAGCGGATGCCTGGGAGATGCTGGGGCCAGTTCCTTACAGCATCATGAAAGACTTCAACACCAGATTAGATATCCTTCCTGCCCTGTAACTTACTTTCTGGATTTTCTGTGAGAACACTGACATCTTTATCAGGCAAGAGGGACACAGGAGCATCAATCCCTCAGAGGAAAGAGAGCCCATGAAAACACATCAGGATTAAAACAGATCAGGACAAGCTCTAATGGTGAAAACAAGACCCGCCTGTATCTGGTCCAAAGGGAGAGTCGGTTCGCGTGCACCACAATTCAGGGCTGATTGTCAGAAATCCTGTCACTGGTCCTCACGAACCACGGCGTGAACTCTACGTATTTGAGAGCACGATGTTGGTATACTTATTGGGAATATGTTGGTAAGAAACTGACGGCTAGTCGTTAATGTCAGGAAGCCAGATCTCCTTTTCAAAAGCAGCACGATGTTTTTGTTTGTTTGTTTGTTTTTGTTTTATGTGGTTCCACTGTTCCTCAGCAGCAGAAAAAGTATTTGGTTGAGAGTTGAGAAACCTGGGTCTGATTTTGGTTTTGCCACTAACTGGATGAACCTGTGCAATGCCTTGGGCCAAACACCATGGAAGATATAAAGATGAGCAAGCCAAGGCAGCTGCCCTAAAGGAACTTGCATCCAACCTGAGGAGACAGGCAGATAAAAACCTGAAGGAGAAAGGGAGGGGGGAATGATAGATGCTCAAATGAAGTCCGAAGTGTTAAGATAATACAAAGAAGGAGATTAATTTCAACTGGGCAAGACGCTTAATGGGCATATAGGGAGGGCATTCTACGTGGAGGAGATACGTTTTTTAAAAACCCACAATGAGATACCACCGCCCACCCATTAGGATGGCTGCTATCAAAAAGTAGCTGGTGAGGGTGTGGAGAAAAGGGAACCCTTGTGCACTGTTGGTGGGAATGTAAGATGGCGCAGCTGCTATGGAAAACAGTATGGAGGTTCTTCAGAAAATTAAAAATAGAACTGCCACGTGATGCAGCAGTGCCGCTTCTGGGTATATACCTGAAAGGATTGAAAGGAGGGACGTGAATGGATATTTGTACATCCTTGTTAATAGTACCATTATTCATAGTAGTCAAAAGGTGGAAGAAACCTAAGCATCCATTGATGGATGAACGGATAAACAAATGTGATCAATAGAATACATACAGTGAAATGTGGTCAATATGAATACATACAGTGAAATTGTATTCATCCCCAGAAAGGAAGGGAATCCTGACACATCCCACAACACGAATAAATCTTGAGGACATTATGCTAAGTGAAATAAGCCAATCACAGAAAGACAAATTCTGTAAGACTTGACTTATGTGACATCCTTAGTCAATTCACAAAGTAGGATGGTGGTTGTCAGAGGCTTGGGGGCAGGGATGGGGAGTTATTGTTTCATGGGTACAGAGTTTCAGTTTTGCAAGATAAAAAGAGTGTGTAGATGGCCAGCGGTGTTGGTTCCACAACGATGCGAACGTACTTAATGCCACTGAACCATACACTTAAAAATGGTTATAAGATGGTAAGTTTTATGTTATGTGTATTTCGCCTCAAAAAAAAGGCCCCAAAACAACAACAAACAAGAGGCAGAGTGAATTTAAAGGGAAGGAAGAGTCTGGGAGCAGAGACCTTAGGAGATGGACCGGCAGGTAAAAGCAAATCGGGTCCGAGTCAGCATAAGCCACATCTTTTGCTCCGTGTTGTGCAACAGTGAGAGGGGAGAGGATGAAAAGAAGAAATTCCGACTAGGTGATCTCTGGGGAGAAACAGCTGTGTCTTGAAAATTACACAATAAACATCAATGGTCATGTTTAGTATAAATAAATGTTATGCTCGTTTGCTGTAAATACGGTATCTGGAACTCTCCTAAAGTCGTTCCTGTTATTGAAGTTGGAGAGAAGCAGAAAGGGTCTTATTCCAAGTTAGAAAAGTCCCATAAAAGCTGTGCTCCTTACCCATCACCCCAGGCAAGCATCTTTCTATCTGTATCAGGTGAGGATCTCAGGAAGCACATCTAAATCAGGATAATTAGAGGAGGGCTGAGTAAAGGAACCCTTTACAAAGATGTGGATGGGGAATCACCAAGGATGGAGCAGTATTTTAGAGCAAGCAGCAGGGATTGTTGCCATCCCTAGACCTGTAGAGTCAGGGGAGGGAGTAGTTACTGGGTCAAGAAGGAATGAGTCACACGGCTCAGAGACTGTCCTGAGAGGTCCAGTGACCTTTGGTGCATGGATGCAGCCAGTCCTAGGCAATCTCACAGGGAGGGAGCCTGGGGAAAAAAATACCCTTAACTCACTCCTCTTACGTGAGTCTGGGGACCTCCTGCCAGGGTTTCTCCTTGGCCGAGGCCCAGCTGGAAGCCAGAGGTTAAGAAACCCATCTCTCTAACGGTATCCGTTAGACACACATCTAGAGGATGTGTCTCTCTAACCTTAAGAAATGTCAGCATCCCCTGGAAGGCTTGGCAAAACAGATTGCTGGACCCCACCCCAAAGCTTCTAATTCAGCAGGTCTAAGGTGGGGCTTGAGAATTTGCATGTTTAACAAGTTCCCAGGTGCTACTGATAATGTTCATCTGAGGACCACATTGGAGACAAGCCCACACAAGTGGGCCTCCAGCAACAAATGGAGGAAGACAGGTGGAGAAGGTGTCTGGGACGACAAGCAACCTGTTGAATGTAGTTAAAGGTGTTCCCGGACCTCATGTTAAGTCTGCAAGCTTTGCAGGCCTCCGTTTCCTTGCCTATGAAGTGAGAGAGATCTGTACGCTCCCTTTTAGAGCATTCTGTGCTCCCATGGACGCCAGGCTGCAGAACGGATTCCACGTTCTTTGGGTGACCACGAAGACTGCTCTTGTTACAGGTGAAGCAGTTTCTCTCTCCATTGACTCTCTAGTGGTGGGGTGCAGTTCACCAAGAGTGAGATGAGTTGTGTGGTGGAGTCTTACATATGTTTCGTACTTGTTTTTCCTGTTGGATGTAACACTGTTTGGGAAAGGATGTAAACATTTGACTTTTCCACAATATTTCCTTACAGATGAAAAGAGCTGTTCACTCCATCAGATAAACTACCTTCCAAAGTCGGGAGGCCCTGTTTGATTTGTGTAAAATCAGGCATCAAGGCGATGGTTTTAAATATAACAGTAGAATGCACCTACTTAACAAAAGCCCAGTCAGTTTATACTAATTTTGCCTATGAAATTACTGTACGCTATTTTGCCTATAAAATACTTTTCTCTTTTCAAGAGCTAATTTGCTAAAACCAAAAGACACCAGTTGTCCTCCTGGTCATAGGTGGCCCTGCACGTGTGAGACACGTATGTGCTTGAATGTTTACGTGTCTCCTTGTGGGTGTTTGTTTTTGTGTCCTGGATATTTGCAGTCATGCAGATGGTAGATGGGCACGGCTGAAAGGGGCTGGAACATTC